TGGTGTTCCTTTTAGGAGCAAGTTGCTAAGAGCTCTTTATTGAGCTAAACAGAAGGCCTCACCATCTTCAACATGAAGAAAAGTAATCGTGTATCAAGAGGCAGCAGCAAGCTGTGATTTCACTCTTTTTAATTTACTTGAAACTTAATATTTATTATTCCATAGCAGTATGTGATAATTACACATTTTTGACATATGACGTTTGTTTCTTTTATTTATAGGGAAGCACTCTGAGAAAGCGGAAGATGTATGAGGAGTTTCTTAGTAAAGTGTCTATTTTAGGTGAGTTTTGGAAGATTGCATGGAGAATCATTTAAGTGTTAAATAATTAACACAAGCAGAACGTTTTGTATTTCATAAAAATTACTGTATCAATTTTGCAGGGAATGCAGAGTTAGAGTTTGACGAAGAAATAACATTAAAGTGTGTTTAATTTGCGAGTATATCACAAACCTCTTAATTAGAAATGATTGGACCTGGGAAAAGCTTTCTGGAATTATGTACTACTCATGTCTCCCGGAGAGGGGGGAAGGCTAAAAGTGTCCTCCTCCTGACTGTGGACATTAACCGTTATTACTTGTGTGACTTCTATTTCTGTTGCTTCATCAGTGGAGTTTATTGGTTAAGGAAAGTGGGTATTTTCAAGAATGCATTTCCTCTGTAGAAAGGCTAGGTGTCATTTACTGGCTTTCTCTAAAAAAAAGACTAGAAGAGTTTTTGAAATTTTGGTGATATTTTTGTATTGTTACAACCTGTTCTTCATTGAGAGGGGAAATGGTGGTTTTTATCAGGTAAAATATCTTCTGCCATTGTTTTAGTACAGTGAATTCATTTTTTTCTCTCTTACTTGTCCTTTCTCTAAATAGTGTCTTGGATGTTTGGCCTTTGGGAACAAAAGTTATTTTCTAGTTCTTGTTGGTTTCGTAAATCAGCTGAGGATTTAAATAGATAAATTACTTCTGTGAACCTCTGGAATAACATGGATGGTGACACTTATTACTTTGGCTCCTGTAATTGTACATTTGATAAGCATTGATGGCAGTCTTTAGGAATACTTAATGATTGTATTTTTTTATTCCTTTACCATTGGATGCTTGGTATAAACTAACCTGGCCACTGGGCTGCTGAAATAAGGATCTAAGGTTATCTGCAGGTCATAGGACCTTGCTGAGACTAGAGGTGATTGAAGACAGGTGCCATTTTTGATCTGAGACACTACTAACGTGTTGCATGGGTGTGGCTATTAGGTTGATTCTTTTTATACCTTTGTTTAGAAATTTTTAACAATAGCAAATAAGGGAAATGCTTTTGATTCTTGCTTTTCAGAATCTCTGGACAAGTGGGAACGTCTCACGGTAGCTGATGCGTTAGAACCGGTTCAGTTTGAAGATGGGCAGAAGATCGTGGTGCAGGGAGAACCAGGGGACGAGTTCTTCATTATTTTAGAGGTAAAGAACTCTGCATTTGCTGTTTTATGAAGCTGTACACGGTATGAGAGAAAACGGGTTGGTTAGCTCTGATTTACACCTTTAGAATTAAAGACTGTCTGACATCTTATTTAAAAATTACCTTTTACATTGAAGTGCTATTTGAGTTTGAGTCAGAATTCTGGAAAAGTTATTTATTTATAAAGTAATAGACTCTGACTTACCCAGTTAACCCTCCTCATGTAAGCCAAAGGAGCCATTTAGCATAACAAACTATGATGATTCTGTACCATCTCTGTTGAAATTATGTGCTTGGCAATTTGGCAACTAAGGATCAAAGGCAGATATTTAAATTCTAAAAGTCGCTATGTTTTATATCTTCACAGTCGATGGAAATGTATAGCAGGTACTCTTGACTGCCAAGTAAATTCAAAACAGATTTTCTATGGATGTGGCTCAGTAGATGCTAATGGCTTTTATTTAATCCTGGGGTCGATGGACTCTGTAAAGGGCCACATGGTCAGTAATTAGACTTCGTGAGCCCTGGGGTTTCTGTCGTGAAGACTCGACTCTGGTGTCTTAGTGTAAAAGCAGCGTAGACACTATATACGTGAATCAGTGTGTTAGTATAAAATCTTCCTGTAAAAACAGCTACTGAGCTTGGATTTGCTGTTCCCCGCCCCCCGCCCTCATGTTGCAGTTTGCTGACTCAAATCTGAACCTGTCAAGTATCTGAGCTTTGATGAGAAGGGCCCCCTCCCTCCCTAGCAGGGGCCGCTGGGTAGATTGCATAGTATATTTAAAATGCCACCCTGGATTTGAAAGTATTTGTTTTGCTTTTTGTTGATTTTATTATAGGGGTCAGCTGCTGTGCTACAGCGTAGGTCAGAAAATGAAGAGTTTGTTGAAGTGGGAAGATTGGGGCCTTCTGATTATTTTGGTATGTAGCTTTCCTCACAGTCAATACATAGTTTAAGTCACCTTTCAGTGTAATATATCGTCTTTCATAATTTGTCATTTCTTCTGAATGTTAAATTTTAGTTGCGATCTGTTTTGCCTCAGTAGTGTGAGCTTTTGACCTTTACTCGGTTAATGATTAAATTATCGTCTCATCTGTCAGCTTTTTTAAGTACAGATGTGGTGTAGCCTGCAGTAGGTCATAAAGAGAAGTTCGTATTTGTTTTTTCTCTTTCTGAGAAGTGCGCCTCTACGACAGTTTCCCCTGGCAGTGAGCGCCCGCTCACCCTTCTCGTTCTCCTCCCCCAGGTGAAATAGCACTGCTGATGAATCGTCCCCGTGCCGCCACGGTGGTTGCCCGTGGCCCTTTGAAGTGCGTTAAGCTGGACCGACCTAGATTTGAACGTGTTCTCGGCCCGTGCTCAGACATCCTCAAACGAAACATCCAGCAGTACAACAGTTTCGTGTCGCTGTCTGTCTGAGATCTGCCTCCTGTGCCTCCCTTCTCTCCTGTCCCCAGTCCGTGCTTCACCCTGGCAGACAGCTTTATTTTCCCTCTTTGCAGCGCCACGTGGCCACTGGCATCGCAGCTTCTTGTCTGTTTATATTACAAGTTGCTTTTATTGCACTGTTTTTAATTTGGAGCATTAACCGAATGCTCATACACAGTTAAATAAATAGAAAAGAGTTCTACAGAGACTTCGCTGTTACTGCTTCTCTTTGTGCAGTGTTAGCATTCATCCTGGGCAGTACGTGCCATGCTTCTTGGTGAGGGCAGACCCCTGCACCAAAGGAATTACCATAGAGTAATGACGTCACAGTGCAAGATTTTTTTTTTTTAAGTGACATAATTTTCCGGTTATAAGCATATTTTAGACTGTGGCCATATATGTATTTCTTTATGGAATAAATGATTTCTCATTAAACTCTAAGGATTAGGAAAAATGAATATAGAAAAATCTTAGGTATCTGCCTTTATTTAAACTAGATTAAGGGCGGAAAAATGCCCATTTTTGCTAATTAGCAGGTACATATGATCTGTTCCGTTTTGTTTTTTTTTAACCAGAATTTTTGTTTGTCGAGCTGTTTGTCTGGTCTTGTTTCTCGTTTCCTCTGATTTTGAAATATGTATAAGTGCGGCTATCTGTACCTGCCTTTTGGTTTGAAACTAAATCATAGGCTGCAAATATTGGGTTATGATTTAACTATATCTGCCTCAGCTCACAAGTTCTGATTAGATCTTTATTTATCCAACTAGTGCCAAATATTGACCATCAGATGCTGAATTAAGAATAAGAATTTGAGGTCTACACCCTCATTTCTTAACTTAGAGCTTTTGGTTAATGTACCTCTTTCGGTTGCCTCTAGGAAAATCTCCTGTGCTCATCCACTAAATGCTGATTGCAGGAGGTTGGATTAGCTGGGAGCAGGTAGAATAGTTGGAACAAATGAAACACCCAGTATGCAGGTGATGTTGCAAAAGAGAACTGCC